AAGACTAAATGGTTAGGCCTATTGTTTTCCTTATTCATGCTAAAAAAATAAATTACATATAAAATTTTAGAGATGAAAAAGGTAATATTTTCTCTAAATTTGCCAAATACTATTGGACTAGATTAACTTTAATTCTTACTTGATAACAATTTTTGTTATATATAGTTTTACCATGTTAAATCAAAAACCTTCCTTTTTAACTAGACAAAAGGGGGAAATCCTATGGAATAGTCCTCTTGTACACTGTGAAGATGTTTTGCTCTCATCGGTTTAATTAAAAGCCAACTGGCCAATAGCTAGGTAGAAAGAAGTTAGGTGGGAGAGACAGACTATGAGGATTCTGGGAAGAAGGAGGGCGGAGCCACCAGCAGATGCAGACGAAACAGAACATGAATGTGCTATTCTGAAAAAGGTACCTACCTCCACTTGGTGCAGGTAGATAAGAAATATGGGATCTTTTAAGTTGTAAGAACAAGTTAGTAACAAGCCTAAGCTATTGGCCAAGCACTTTTCATTGATAATAAGTCTCCATGTGATTATTTAGGGAGCCAGAATTTCACAGGTGGTGTTTCACCCCGATCACATATTAAGGTAACATCCTGCCATCCTCTTGAGTTTCTCTCTCCTCCACTTCCTACCTCCTTCCATGTCTCTAGTCTCTATTCTCTCCTTTCCTTTTTCTGTTAAGTGTGTGTGTGTGTGTGTGTGTGTGTGTGTGAGAGAGAGAGAGAGAGAGAGAGAGAGAGAGAGAGAGAGAGAGAGAGATTCGATAATTTACAAGAACAAGACTGTAGGTGGAAGTTTCTGTCCCACCAGCAGATCCCAAATAAACACACTGAGGCTTATATTAATTAAAAACGGTCAGCCTATGATAGCTCAGGCTTGTTACTATCTAACTCTTACATTTTAAATGACCTGTATTTCTTATCTAGCCTCTGTCACGTGGCTCATAGCCTGTTACTTCATTTTCTACACATCCTGATCCCTCTACATCTCTGTTATCCCATCTGACTCCACCCTTCTTCATCCCAGCATCCTTAGTTTGATTGTCCTGCCTGTACTTCCTGCTTGGCTACGGGCCTGTCAACGTTTTATTAACCAGTGAGAGTAATTCATATTCACAGTGTACAGAAGAATTATTTCACAGCACAAGGCATGGTGGCACTCACCTGTAATCTCAGCTACCAGGGAGGCTAAAGCCAGAGATTCACAAGTTCTAGGCTAGCCTAGGCACCTTCCTGAGACCCTGTCTCAAAATAAACAGTACGGGGAAAAAAGAGGGTTGGAGATATGACTCAGTGGTAGAGTGCTTCCCTAGTATATGTGATGCCATAGGTTCAATCCCTGTACTTGCTATAGTAAAATAAGCCAAAGGGTTGAGTCTTCTTCCCTTCCTCCTCCCTTCCCACTCCTTCTCTCCCTTCTTCTTTTGAGACAGTTCTCACTACATAGACTCCTCTGGTCTGGCTATATAGACCAAGCTGGCCTTGAACTCATAGAGGTCTATCTGCCTATCTTGAGAGTGCTGGGATGAAAGACATGCACCACTATGCCCTACTTAGAGTTATTTTATTTAATTTCCAAACTCATGAGATGTTACCTTTCTGTTAAAAATTTTGAATTTTATTGTATAATGGGAAAATATGTACATTGGAAATTTATCAGTTTCACGTAACTTAATTCAAGATCTAGTTTTGTGGTTATTTCATTTGTAGTAAAAAAAAATTTTTTTCCCCTGTGGCTTTATTTCCTTTTCTATGAAAGGAAGAACCCAAGTCTCCAGCCTCTTTGAGTTGCTGTTTTTGAATATTGCAAAAATAAGGACCAAATTGAAAGACATAAAAATTCTCTCTCTCTCTCTCTCTCTCTCTCTCTCTCTCTCTCTCTCTCCAAATCCACAAGGAGTATACCTTGACATAAGTAAACATAAAAGGAGAGGAAAGGAGAGGAAATAAGGAAAAGGGAATATCTCTGCTTCCCGAAAATCTGGGTAACAGGTGCCCAGTCTTCTAGGGAGCACAACTCAAACTGACAGAGGGGGGCTGGCCAGGGTGCCATGTGGAGAAGCCACCTGTGATGAGAATTCTGATATCATTTCCTTAGAGGCCACTGGCCTTGGGCATTTATGTAAGTGAACTATAATGTGCTATTGAGAAGAACCACTGGGTACTACCTTGGGGAATTGTCCTCCACTAGGTTGGTGGATGGTTGCTTAGGACACAGCATGGAGAGCAATACACATTTGCCATTGGTAGAAGGATTTGACGGTCATGGGCATGGGCCTGGGGATCAAAGTCAGATTCTTAACTGATAGTTCCTCAGATTGTTTACCAGAGGATTCCATGCCCTTCAACACAGCCTTAAATCTTAGGCCACCTCTGCCTCTTTTCTTCTGTGAACCCTCATGTTGCCTCCCACCTCCTGGACAGGGCCATCAACTAACCTTGTAGTCCCAAAAAAACTTCAAGTATGTCCAGATACTACAAGTCACCAAAAAAGTGCCTTAAACTTGAAAACAAAGAAACAAACAAAAAAGTGTGTGCATTTGTTCTGATATTTTTCCTATGCGTGTGAGAATTGTTGAAGCTTATTGCTGGAAAAACCATGTCCCTTTTTCTCTGTATGAAGGCAGGAATCCTTGGCTATTTGTAGTCATGAAAAAAATCCCTGTTACTTTTTTGGATGGTGACAGCAATTATTGTTAACACTTATCCACTTTTTGTGGTTTTTTTTTTTTTTTTTTTTTTTTTTTTTGAGCTAATGAGGGAGTCTCTTTGGAGTTCAAGAATAACATGATTGATTCACTAATAATATTTGGCTGCCATTGGGACAACAGAGTCCACTCTACATATTGTATGGTGTATTGGAAGCAGCATGAAATCAGAGGAACTTGGTTAGAATTTAGGTTTTACTCTGTATTGGCTCTGAGATTTTAGATGATGTAATCGACTTTCCTGATTCTACAGACTCCAAGTATTTGCAATGCTAAAAGAATACCTACCTCTTAGGTAAAAACATTGCTATTAGGATGGCCGGTGCCTGCATGCAAACACTGGAGTCCATTAGCACAGTAAAAGGCACACACAATCGGGAAACTTTGAGGAGGCAGGTTTAGAACTGTCCACTGATTTTTTTAAATAGATATTTCATCTTGAACAAGAGGTGTTAGTAAAGTATTTTCCTATTGTCAAAAAGTTTTTAGCAAGGTAGGTGTGATGGTGCAGGCCTTTAATCCCAGCACTCCGGAGGCAGAGGCACGTGGGTCTTTTTGAGTTTGAGGCCAGCAGTTCTACAGAATCAGTGCCAGGACAGCCAGGGCTACACAGAGAAACCCTGTTTCCAAAACAAAACAACGAAAGAGTTGGTACAGGCGAGATGGCTCAGCTGTTAAGAGCGCATATAGTTCTTGCAGAGGAACTTATATAGTTCTTGCAGAGGAACCTAGTTTTGTTCCTAGAACCCACATCAGGTAGCTTAAGCTTCCTGTCACTCTAGATCCAGGGGCTCTGACGCCCTCTTCTGACCCTGCATAAAGACGTGTATTCATGCACACACACACACACACACACACCCCGTACATAATAATAAATTAGCAGTTACATTTTTGTATGTCATCCAATCATTTAAAAATGAATCGATGAGCTTATTAATCACTTCATGTTTAAAAATAATTTGTGCAAGTGGATCTCTGTGAGGTCAAGGCCAGCTTGGTCTATAGAATTATTGTCTTTTTTTTTACTGGGAGTTGAACCCAGGGCACCTAGCTGTTAGCCTAATTTTTGACCTGCCTACTATGTGCAAAGCTCTCATGGACATTTCGTGTTAAGGTTTAACGATTCATTTGCTCTTTCACTAAAATAATCCCTTATATTATTTAAATTACTTTTTTTTCTTTTTAATTTAGGAGAGGGTGTCTCTTTTACCCACAGCAAACATGGTGGAGAAGGCTTCAACCTGACCTCTTGGGGCCCTCAACAAAGATGGCTACCACACTTCCGGCCCTTGCCCTCAACAAAGATGGCTACCACCCTTCCTGCCTAGGGCTTTCGCCCATAACAAAGATGGTGTTTTCGGTACGGGTTCCCTAAGTGTCTGGATTCCGGTTGTAGATTTTTTTTTTTTTTTTTTTTTTTTTAAAGATACGTGGTCGCAGACGTAAGTAGCAGGAACGCGCCTTCTCTCGACCTCGCCCCTGCGCGGCTCAGTGTGCTCTGGTCCCCGCGGGGCTAGGGTCTGGGTGGCGGCTGTCCCCGCGCTGCGCCGCGCGGGCGTCCGAGCCCCTCCCGCGTCCCCTCCGGTCCCCAGCGTCCCCGTCCCCGCCTCCACACGGGCCCCGCCGCGCCCAGTGCCCCGTCCGCCCGGCAGTGTCGCCCCGGTTCCGAATTCTTTCTTGTAGGGCATGCCTTGCTGCGACTGTGTATTGTGAAAGGCACACAAAGACCCCCTGAACGCGCTGGCCCCGGGCAGGCAGGTCTAGTCTGTAAGAAAGATCCTTAAACTCATTCTTACCTCTAGATCGCCCCTCACCACCACCCCTGCCTGCCGCTCTGGGTCTATAAATGCCCCTGGCATTTACATGCAGTGTGGGCGCAGGATTGAATGTTAAACGTGATGTTAAATTAAAACCCACTGTTCTCCAGCATGCTAAAAATCAAATGCTGTTCCGTGATTTCCACGGGTTGCATTTAAAGTAAGGTCTCAGGTCTGTTTTCCCTTGGCTCGCTTACTGAAAATGGGACCCCGTTCGTTATGTGGAAATCAGAGAAGTGGGTTCATCATTAGTGTTGTTCACACGCTGGGAAGTGTTTGAAATGAACTTGACCCTGCCCAGCAGCCGTGTAGGAAACACTGTATCTTATCTTGGCACATCTCTTAAGATGTGAACGTCTGACCTGACTGACCTTGAGGTGCTTATTAACGATGTTGCAGCAACACTGTCTTTAGGGGGTCCATCAGCATCCTGTAACCCGAGTGCTGATCTTGTTTCTTTCCAGGGAGAAATGGATGCCAGAGACAAGCAAGTGCTCCGCTCACTGCGTCTGGAGCTGGGTGCAGAGGTCTTGGTGGAGGGGCTGGTTCTGCAGTACCTCTACCAGGAAGGCGTTTTGACAGAAAACCATGTTCAAGAAATCAAAGCCCAAACCACAGGCCTCCGGAAAACAATGCTGCTGTTGGATATCCTGCCTTCCAGGGGCCCCAAAGCGTTTGATACCTTCCTAGATTCCCTCCAGGAATTTCCCTGGGTACGAGAGAAGCTGGAGAAGGCAAGAGACGAAGCCACAACTGAGCAGCCCACAGGTAGGCCTCAAAGAGATCACTTCAAAACAGCTCTGGAATTGTCGCAACTGTGCCCTTTGGATTGAAAGCTGGGTGCTTCAGGGGGGCAGGGATCAATGGCTCATGAACATGGGCAAGGGGTTTGGATTGAAATGCCATGGCATTGGAGGGGCAAACATGAGGTGGCGGTGTTAGGAAACTTAAGCAGGGAGGGGAAGGTGAGTCATGAGACCGGGAGGTTAAGGAGGGAGCTCAGAGGACAATTTAGATATGCTTCCAGGGAAACCTGGCAAGTTCGCTTGTGAGGCGTGTTCTCAACGAGAGCCAGGTCAATCCGAGCCCTTTGGCAACAGGAGCCATTTGGAAAGTACAGACGGGAAAGCAGGCTTTGGCCTACTGATAACTGACTTGTGGGGTGCCAAGCTGCCAGTTGAAGAAGGTCAGATCATGGGAGACAGCCTCTAGGAAGGCATGCCCTGCACCTGTTCCTTCAGAGGATTATTCTGAAGCCTGCTTTAGTCTGTTTTGTTTGTTTATTTGTTTTGTAAAGGCTATTGGTTTAAAATGGTCCTTTAAAGTTCAGCTTTGTTCAGACAGCTGGGGCATTTTCTTTTTCAAGAGCAGCGATTTGGGGGAGAATCTCATTTTGTTTCTCAAGGAGAATTGGAAGTTGTGGTTTTAAAAGTAACAGTTTGGTGCCGTGAGGGTGGTCCATGAGGAAGGGGCTGTTTATATAGTACTGTCCCTTTAAGTCCTCTGAAAGATTGGGGAACAGAGAGTGCTGACCTAGAAAGGCTTTTTTTTCTTTTCTTTTTCTTTTTTTTTTTAAAGAAGATAGTGGAAAGGTGACGAAGTCAGCTGATCCAAACTGAGTTAGCATATTTCCAGAGTTAAGAATTCAACATTTTCTGAAGTTTTGATAAAGGTACAGGAAGTCAGTGGTCTTCAGAATTTATTGTTACTGTTTAAACAAAAAATGATTGTAACAGAGTGCTTGTCTTTGGTCTCAGCTCTTGGGAGGCAGAGTCAAGTGGGGTGAGTTCTAGGCCAGTCTGGTCTAAAGAGCAAGTTCCAGGACAGCCAGGGCTGCATAGCGAGACATGACTGTAATTGGTTAAAGAAACCAAATGCTACTTACTAGTAAATTACCTTTACTGTGTTTTGCACTACGGGTCTCATATTTTGAATGATTTTGAGACCACGTGTACTAAGTCATCATAACTAATTCTTTTTTAAATGATGACTTATATCTGAATATCTGACCAGTATGGGACATCCATTTAATTTAGAAAGACCTGGTAAACTTTTAGTGGGAAACCTAAAAATATCTTTATTCTTAACTTGTCCAAATTACATGTCTTTTTGAAACAGTGGACATGCTGGCTTTTGAGGACCTCCAGAATTTTCAGCTTGGGTTGTCTTTAGAAAATCACATATTCCATGTGTTTGAACAAAACAAGGGCATGATATCTTAGGCATTCCTACCACTTTATTAAAAGCATAACATAGTAAAAGTATAACATAGAGTGGGGAGGTTTCGAAAATGATTTATGCTTTTCTGGTATCCACTTAGAACAGTGGTTCTCAACCTTCCTAATGCTGAGACCCTTTAATACAGTTCCCTATGTTGTGTAGAACCTCCCCCCCACCGTCATAAAATTGTTTCTTTGCTGTTTCATAACTTCAGTTTTGCTACTGTTATGAATCTCAGTGTAGATCTCTGATATGCAGGCTAGCTGATATGTGGCCTCCAAAGGGATCGTGACGCACAGGTTGAGGACCGCTGCCTGAGAAGGTCTTCTTGGCTTCATGTAGTTGGAAATGGCAAGACAACCAAAAGCCTTTCCCTCTCAAAACGTTCAGTTTAATTATGTGGTTATTTTGGATTATGTAAGGAGTTTTCGTCATGAATTGTCCTAGAAATGTGACTCTCATTTTCATTTCTTCAGGTTTATTCGGAGAGCAAGAGAGAGTTAAGATACCTTTAGCAAATTATAAAAGTGTGAGAGAAGCTGAGGGAAAAGTTCTTTTTACATGTGTCTGTTTATTTTACATGGAGGAGTGTTTTGCCTGCTTGTGTGGATGGGAACTCTGTGAGCCTGGCCCCTACAGAGGGAAAGGGGTCGCTGGATCCCCCGGAACTGGAGTCATAGGTGGCCGAGGGCTGCCATGTGGGCGGAAACTAGGTCCTTTGCAAGAGCAGCCAGTGCTTTTAACCACTGGGCCCTCTCCCTAGCCCTGTAAAGTGGGAAAACCAGAGCACATCTGTATACAGGCTGAGAGAGCCAGGTGCCCTGGAGATTGCTGACCCTGTAGAAAGGTCCGGTGGGAAGCTGGGTTGGCTCTATCCAGCAGATGAGTGATGTGCGTTGTCTTTCCGTTTGTGTTTTATATTACCACTGTTGTTGGGGGTTTGAGTTATAGATTTCTCAGCGACAGTTCTGTGAACTCATTAAAGATCTTGCTGAGGTTAAATATCCACTATTTTAAGTAATACTGAAGATGTATGTAAGGTGCAGGGACTAGCGGCACAGTTTACACCCGCCTTATGCTTGCTCGAAGGAGAAGTGACTCCGTTCATGTGTTAGCTCTCTCTTTGCTTGGTGCTTACGGATAGGTGAGCTCTCGGCTACTTCGGCAGTTTTGGCAATGCCATGCCTGCCTATCTGCTGCCAGGCTTCTTGCCGTGATGGTCATGGGCTCCAACCCTCTCGAAATGTAAGCAAGCCCCCAATAAACTCTTTCTTTATCAGAAAACAAAAAGTGGTACTACAATCACCTTTGAGAGCCTGTTGTTCATACCGCTTACCAAGACGCCATGATTTTGAGGTTTGTTATTACCATCCTCATCTGCAGTTTTCTAGCTCAGAGGAATCACTTTAAAAATCCATATTGATTATTGGAAATCTATTGTCATATGGTCTGGTGATGTGTATGCCTATAAATTGTGTGTGTGTGTGTGTGTGTGTGTGTGTGTGTGTGTGTGTGTGTGTGTGTTTGGGAGTAAGCATGGAAGAAATGTATTTTAAAGGAAGTTACTACTTAATTGCTTTCTGTTATTTAAGACCTTAAATATTTTAAGTGTTTAATTTCATGAAAATATGATTCTAAAATTAAATTGAAAGTGGATTGGAAGCTTGTGTGGGTCTTTTTGGGAGAGAATAAGGGGGCCTTAAAGTTGTGGACTAGCATCAGAACTGAATTGCCTTCTAACTTAATGTCTGTGGAAGGAAAGCAAGCAGAGCCCGAGGCCTTTTCTTCTGGGACCTCAGGGTTTCTCTAACGTGGTGTTGGAATGGTGTGAGTGGGCTTTGCTGTAGCTCCCTTTTATTTTTGGAAAGGCGTCTTGGATTCTGAGAATCTTGGATTCAAGCAGAATAGGCTGTCCACGAGGCACACACAGTAACCTTTTCTCGTTTTTCATGTTGGTTGTAATTATTCATAGGATGGGTCTGGGGCCTTGCCCTTGGGAAGCCTTGGGAAGAAATGGTAAGCAGTGGCTTTCTCTTAGCCACGTGGCTGATCCTTCCTCAGGAATGAACGGACTTTATTTTACTACAGTTTTCTGCTGTGTTCCTTTGGTGGGGTCTTGGTTTTCCCCTTCTTTGGGTATTTAATTTCTGTACTCCATTACATTTTGAGCTGCATCAGGGGTGTGTGTGTGTGTGTGTGTGTGTGTGTGTGTGTGTGTGTGTGTGTGTTTTGTCTTAGTTATTTGCCTTTGTATATATGCTGAATGTAAGTTTTAGAGCAAGATTGAGTTGTAGTTCATTCTCTACACTTCTAACGTCCATTCCTCAGCAAATCCTCAAAAGAACAACAACAACAAAATGCCTTAAATCTTGTGATTATATCTCAGAATCCCCTTAGGTCTCCCAGTCTCTACTTTAAAAAAACAAAGTATGAAAGTCCAAGATGGGAGAGGACAGTTGGTTTGCGTTTCCTCACGCCACAAGGACTCTTACCTTTTAAAGGAATTCTGCCGATAACATGACTTAATCCATCTTGGCACAGCGGAAGGGACACTTCGCAGTTCATCGCTGTGGCCAAGGTCACACTCGAGACGAGACATTAGATCAGCTGGAAGTGCTCCCTGGGCTCTTGCTGGGTCACTGTAGGAGACAGGGGCAGCACTGGGTGTGGTGAAGGCTGCCTGTGGCTGGTGGCCTGGCTTCTCCGCCTGGTGGGCCTGTCTGCACAGCAGCTCTCTCTGCTGCCCGGGCTAAGCTGACTTGGGGACGGAGCTACTTCTGAAGCCCTGGCCTCACTCTCTGACAGGACTTAGTGTAAGCACAGCAGAGTGACGGCTGGGCCACAGGATCCCTGTCCCCTCTCATTTGCCCTAGCCTGACTGTGGCACTGCGTCTCCCATTTGGTTAAACAGACCTGATGGTTGTAAGGAGTAAGGTACCTTACAGGTGGTAGCCTGGCCTTTCCCCTCGCTTTCCCTCCAGCTTGAGCTTTGTTTTTCTCAACCAGATTTTCATCAGCCGGATTCCTGAGTTGTGTCTTCTTGGCCACTAGCGAGAGTGACCCGCCTGTCTGCCTCCTGCCTAGCATCTGAGATTCGGTCCTCAGCCCCAAGGCTAGCCCCTGTTTTAGCCTTGCCTGACCCTCACTGGGGTCATCTCAATGGACAGTGTGTCCTGGGATGCCTGGCTTTTCTCACTGTGCAGTACACAGGGGTGGCTTGCCTATTTCTTCCTGCCCAGAGGCTCCAGGCCCAGCCTGTCCCTTGTGAGCTGGCCTCGAGTGACCCTGCTGAGGTACAGTGACAGTTCTCCTTGAGGTGCATGTTGGCCCTGAGGTACACACTTACGTGTATTTGAAGTTACTAAGTTCTCATGGCAGATGTCTTACACACTGCCATAGGTTTATTTGATTTTTTTTTGACTTGGGATTCTTCTTAGGCTCTTCCAATCACATCGTGGGCCACAGCCTACCCCATGAGAGAAGGATGGTGCTAATCTCAGTTTATCCAGCCTAGACTCTATATGCAGGCAGCGAGATTGTTCCATCTG